TCTCTCTCTCCTCTCTCTATCTCTTTTTTTAAAAAATAAATTTATGGACAAATTGGGAACATATATCACCCAAACTCGATAGAGTTCACTCATCAATTTAGATCTCAATACAAGCAAATCAAACCATGTGTTTTATTAAAATTGTAATCTGTAATTAACCTTAAGCTTAAACTAAAAAATATCAAGATGATGAAGTTTTATTTAATAGGAATAAATAACATTCATGGACTCTGACCATGTGCTGGAAACTTTTCTGAACACTTTGCAAATATTAATACATTTAATTCTTATAAACAACCCTTAGCGTAGATATGGTTATTATTTTCTTATTACAGGTGAGGAAACAAGCATAGAGAAGTTAAGTAATTTGCTTAAGTTACATCAGAGCTTCTCACTGCAGAAGTCTAACTCCAGAGTCTATCTTCTTTGCTCTTATGTCATATAGGTTTTCTGATTTAAGAAATAGTCCATATGAAAAATCAGAGTGATAGCATTTCTCTAGTGGGTGAGAAGTGTAACTTAGGATTCAAAGTGGCTGGTTTATAATCAGAAATAGAAGGAACCACCATCTTTACCAGCAGAAAATGTGCAGAGGAGGCATATTTTAGAACTCTTGGACGTCACTCTAAGTCCTCACGGTCCCATCTGTTCCTCCAGGTACCACTTCAGAGTGCCCAGTTTTCACCGTTTGTGCAGATGAGACAGACCTGCTGGCATCTCTTCTTGATCTTCCATCGACACGACTTACTTTTTGCCCTGGGGATTCTCACTTGTCGCTGTGGGAGCCCACTTGGCCTTCACGTATGTGCAACCTGGAAATTAAGAAGAGTTAACATCCATGGCATCACCTTGAACCAGTGGAGAAGGGAGAGAGACCAAACACATCAATGTTTTCTCCTAGTTTTAAGATGCATTTCATAAGACTCCTGAGTAGTCTTGTTGGTTTGAGCCCTGTCAGTTGCAGCAGCTGGCCATCTCGATGATGCAGCCTTGTACTGGCTTTCCCTCATTCCCTGACTCACTCCTCCTGGACTTCACTCCTGCTCTATGGGATCACATTTGCACATCCACAGCGGATATGCAAACCTTTGTCTCAGACTCTGCTTTGTTCTGCTTTGGAGGAGCACAGGCTAAGAACATAGAACAAAACAATGAGTTTGGACATTGGTCTAAAACAAATGCCAGAGTAATTTGGTAATTAATTATGGTAGAATATGGTAGAATATGCTATTTCTACAGGAATAAAACAACACTGATTCTCTTTTTAAGTTTAAAATTGGAAGATGAGAGGTGTACAGAAGTCTCCACTCTCTGGTCCTAATGCAAAACTCCTTAAGATTTTCCTCTGAAGTACGGAAATAGGAAGCTCTCAGCAGACAGAGCTTATTGTAGTAAAAAGTTAGTTGGCTTTGATTATCAAGAGAAAGAAAGTTCCACACTGTTCCACACTGAGGGAAATTTGGAACCACTAGTGTGTTTTTTGGTACTCCCATGCCCAACTGTGATTGGAGGAGAGGGTAATGGACAAGTGCAGCAGCCATGACCTGATTGCACGGAGACCAAAGACTCATACCCTCAGAGATGAGGGTTTGGATCACCACACTGCTAAGCAGCCTAGACCAACAGAAGTGCAAGCTGAGGGCATGGAGAATCTAGAATAGGTTGTAAAGGTGGCAGAGATAGGTGTCACTTATAGCCTTGAGACCAGCTGTGATGGAGAGGGCCGTAGTTCATCCCACTAACCTTCATTTTCTAAGCTCTGCTGGAAAATGAGACCAATTAGAATCCTGAAGAAGATGTTCCTAAATGGGGATGACTTATTATTAGAAGCCAGTAGATCCAAGTTCTTAAAATAGAGCGGACTGTAGTGGGTACGATCATGTGCCATCTACATTACCCTCTCAAGAGCCAATGTGCTCATTCTCCAACTCTACATATATTGGCTGCTGATGACTTGAGCTATGTCGCTTTCCAGGAATTGCCCTTTGTGGAAGGACACTTTCACTCAAAGTTATGTGCCTTGCTGGCTGCAGCCGGCATCTAATAACGTGTCGGTTGTTTTCAAAGGCTTAACCCCATGACTCAGCTTGTGACATCTCTGAACAGCATCCTGGATTCAGATTGATCCATGCTGTCCATGGATGGCTGGAGCCTTTGGTGTAACTGCACCACAGTTCAACTTCTCTCTGTGAGATCGTGCTTCTGTCACTTCCTTACATGGGATATTTCCGAGAAGACAGGCCAATAAGCCTCCCGTATGTGAATCTCAGCGTCTGTGTCCAGGAAGTCTGATGGAAGCCTATTTTCACATCGATTTCCCTGGACAGTTGGGGCGATTTAAATTAATAATGCCATGCCACCTTTAGTTTACTATTTATTTAATTTGGAATAAGGATGAGAGATTTCAGGTAAGAGGCAATACAGATATTATGTAACTCAATATTTTCCTACGGTAGATGGCCAAATAAAAGGAAAGAGAAGTGGATCTTCTCTCTTTGGAACAATTCTAAAGGAAGGCATGTAGAGGGTACCCTCTCATTTCTGGGGCTCTGATGCACGCAAAAACTTGAAAGCCACTTGAGCGTGGACCCCTTTGTCTTCAGCATAAGAAGGGCAAAATTGGGACTGCAAGAGCGAAAGTGAAAGAGGGAACATCTGCTTCCCTCTCAATGCTCTCGCTGTTGGATTTCACTCTGGGCTGGCTGTCGTCCTCACTCAGAGTGGGCCATGCACTTCTCAGACCACTTAAGTATGACAGTGATGAGGGAAAGCATGCTATTAGTAATCACTTGTTTTGTGTTCGTGCAAATCAAGAAATGTTGGATAAAACCTCTCTTTTTACTCAGTTCTGGACAATTTCAAATTGAAACATATTTTTACCATCATGAAGAGCGGGCTGGACATCTTAATAATCGACCGAATTTATTTATTATTAGTCTCTCACTACGGCAATGTGGTGAAGTGGCCGGCAGCCCAGCACTACTCATTTTTCCCTTTCTTCGAGGAAGTAGCACAATGATGGGTAACAGACATGGCTGTAGAAAGCTTTCCTTTCTAAAATTCCTGTGACTACATTGAATTGTATGCCAAATATATACATATGTGTAACAAAAAAATGTGAGAAGCGTGTATTTTTCTAGTCTCATTTGATTGCATCAACACGGAGTTCATATTGGCTTTTGCAACAATAGCTAATGAGCCATATGTGGAAAAATCCAGATGTTTAGAGAGTATGCTCCTCTGATCTATTATACGAATGTCCATTTACGACAATGTCTCATATTGTATGGAAAGGAGAAAGCTGCATCATCAATAAAGAAATACAATTGAAGGCTAATTGCTCTGT